TTGAAAAATTGAGGAGGGAAACCTTGGTCATACAAACACTTTGACAATCATCATTGATAAATTTATGGCTATAGGAAGCCGTTGAATTGTCTCAAAGATGTGGTTCGACAATCTTTGAATTGTGTACGTATATTACCATATTTGGAATGTCATGTGACCAGAACACTATGAGAGCTGGATATGTGAATCTAACATAATATAGCGTAAGTCGTGAATGTTCGTCAACTACAATTCTAGTCAAAACTGTCAATCCTCTTTCGTCCAGCCGTCTTCTTAAACATTTCGATCATCAGGAAATTATTTGAATTTTGTTCAAGACAGATAGACTTGATCTACTTCTTCGTATGGTGGCCAAGAACATACGTAGCCGCAAGATCACCCAATTATAATATGATATATTTTCTCTCACCACTCCATTAACCATACCATTGTTCCACTGAACCATCCTGATCCATGAGTGGAAGTGCTCGCCACTCCTCCAACCGTTTGGCCTGCGTAGTTTCCTATCATCTTGAGCGCCAGGTTATGTTTCTTGTCAAATTCCTCGACAAAATCTACAACGCGTTTCCCGGCTTGTACTTCGACTTCATATTTCGTTTCCGTTGATTCCATTTCTGAATCCTCCGACTGTGAATCCTCCGGTGTCGGTGGTGCGACTGCGAGAATCTTGTTCAAATCTGTCATGACCACGAGTATGTCTCTAGTGTGGGTGAGACGAGACTAAGAGGAACCTGTGCCCACGGCGCGAATGGTGTAACCATTGTCCGCTGCATACTTACACAACGCCGCGATCTGACCAGTGCCATCAAGCCCTGTGTTATTAGAAAGTCAGATTAATCGATACAACTGCAGCTGATTTTTTATCCTCAGGAGTTCCATATATCAGGAAGCATTTGTTCCAAGGTTACATTATGATAATATATGTTTCAGCGTGAGTTCTCCAAGCTAATCAGTCAGTAATTAAAGCAGCAGTTACTGTAATTGTTCTCAAGTGAGTTGATCTCACTCTCTCAATCGCTCAATCACAATTTACCATCTTATCTCTAATAAATGTTCGTGTACACACCATCATGGCTTTGCATTTGATTTTTAATGTCATCGTCGTCATCAATGCCATAAAAAGCTTCTGGAAAACGGTGGACGCGCTCGTTCCGGGGGTGGTAAATATGGAGGTGAGCTTATGAAATAAGGTCGAGATTTATCGGGATATAAAAGGTACGCATTTAATTTTTGTCACCGAAAAGAGAATAACTTTCAAAAAACGTTGCCTCCCTCGCAGCCGTTTTTTGGTCTCGTCACACAACGCCCGCTATTTCCCGTTTGAGAGGGAGCGCGTTGCGTAACGAGATCAAATAACGGTTGCGAAAGAGACTACGCTTACTGCCGTTCCTCCAACAGAGAGAAGATCAAAATTATTCGTCTGCCGTTAGTTACCTCAAAAATATAATTACGCGTAATTTTACCACAAAAAGCAAACTGAAACTGTGTTGTACCTCTAATAGACCCTAACCAGATATATATTGTGATCTCGAATAAGTGAAGATACATTGAACAAGAGAAAAGGATAATATTTCAAAGAGGCTCCTTGATTGGTTGTTGCCTATCTGGACTTTGCCCTCTGTGTGAAATGCGTGATGAAATGCAGATTGTTTTACAAGTCATCAACACGCAAAAGCGACTTAAACTTGTAGAAAAAGTCAAACGCAGGAGAATTGAGTGGAAAACTCAATATCATTAGCTTTTAATTCCATGTGAATCTTTTTTTAGTGAGGCTGGACAATGCAGTTAAAGTAAGTAATAAAAAGCAAGTTGTTTACAAGAAAATGACACGTGATAGAGCGAAGTTCAATGTGGCAAAATGGAATTTGATTGATGGAATACAATACAAGCGCGTGAAAAATTGCCTAATGTTTATGTAGTGCAATGATTAGGTATGTTCCGATTGGACTTAGGACATTGTTTTCATGGTACGTGGTAGAATGAAAGTTGGTTGGCAGGTGCGTTGTGAGTAAAGGAGCGGAAAAAACACGTTTTATCTTTAAATTTTTAAATGCGTACCTTTTATATCCCGATAAATCTCGACCTTAATCAACGAGGCTCCCGCGTTGGCCAGAAACCGTCACACTTATCCAATGGGCCCAAAATTTCTGGTTAATGTCATTCTTTGTGCACAGCCCCGTGTTCCATGACATTATTTACAAGAAAACAATACCCAAACGCTGTGATTGGTGCAATATATTCAAATGCTATGATATGATTGGTGCGAGATACATACCCTAATGCGGCAATCTGATTGATGCGAGGTACGTACCCTAATGTGGCGATCTGATTGGTGCGAGATAATACCCTAATACGGCGATCTGATTGGTGCAAGCAACATACCACTCTATACGCTAACATAGAGTTACTTTTTTTATATAAAAAAATAACTCAAAAATGAGTAACATACTTAAGGCAAAATGAAAGTAACTTTTCATTTTCCCTACTTTTGCTCCTATTACAGACTTCTACGGACGATTGCATTTTTTTAGCTGTTTCTTATGCTTTTGATTGAAAATGAAAGAGCAACCAGGGTTACCCATGTTAAAATACTAAAAAGTGTTGTCTGGTTGAAGATTATTATACAATAAGCTTCAGACAATCAGGCTGCGACCTTTGACCTAGACACCCTAAGGAAAAGGCGTTTGTATGAATATATAAAACAAAGCCATAGCTGAAAAATAACAGTAGAACTGCGCGACGAAGGCTGATAGACGCCTGTATGATTAAAAAGTAGTTCTCTCAAAAAGAAACTGATATTGCCTGGCTTACGACACTGGGTTATTGTCTGCTTCATTTATTGTGGCAGTGTACTGTGACTCGGGAGTCTTTCGTAGTCTTGAGTCATATAGCAATTGTGAAAAATGTGAACAAAGAAGGGAGCTCTGTGTAACGGCGCGTGAGCGAGGAAGAACACCAAAATGTTCACCCTCAAGGAACCTAAATTCTTAGAGACAGTTTTAGCTACACTCTGTTGGCACTTAAACTATGCATATATTTCTGATCTTGTTTTGACACATAAGCTCAGTCTTTCCATGTAAAATTGAGGAGATTCTAAATGAAAGTGATGATTAATTAAGATTTTTTGACAGCCTAGATCCTTTGAAACACCATCATTTACACTGGCATGGAATGCATTTACACTTGTGCTGATTACATTTGCTGTTCGACGATCAGAGTAAATGTATAAATTGAACTTAGATCAGAACAATTATTGTAAAAATCACAATATAAAAAAGTATGAGTGTGTACAGCATTACGAGGTTTGGTGTTTTGACCAGTTTTCTGCGTCATAAGTTAGGCAAGCTTTTCCTCTTAAATGTCAATGTTACTCTGCTATGGACATTTGCAGCGCTCTTCTTCATAGGAAAGACGCGTGAACTAGATCTTCTATAGCATTAATTAGAACTTAAGAGTTATTTTCAATCCTCACCCAAATCACTGCGGTCCTTAGCACTAGTTGCTCTTCTCTCAGCGGTCCTTAACTCTAGTTGCCCTATAGCTCTGTGGACAACTTTTAAAACCCCTAAGTTACGTGCTTTGAATAAATTAAGTAATTGCCTCTCCTTTTTGCTTCTGACAGGCAACTCATAGGCGGCTCAAGCTCCAGCTGCGACATGATCATCTAGCGAAATAAGGGTCAGGGCGAAATCATTAGAGTTTGTATGGGAATATTTACGACCGCTCTTAGGAATCAAAAATACAGTCAAACTCTCAATAAAAATACCTCACTTCCACAGTGAATCGCTTGTTATTTGACCGCTTCCTGTTTTGTTACCTGAACAGCAGACTGATTGCCATTTAGATTCAAAACAGTCATTAGTGTCTATCTAAATGTACAGGCAGCCCAAGCAATAGTTTGCGGGAACAAATGTTTGCGGCTCGAATAGACTGAAATTTCCGCCGGGAACTAATTTTTGCGGTTTTCTTTTCAAGCAGCACGACATCAACAAGAGAGGAAATGGAACATCCTCAACTTTTATAATTCATGTGATAGTTAACAATTCCCACGGGGTATTTTTTTAAGAAAATGAACGACACTTTTTTAAAAACATGTTTCGAAAGTTCTTCTATCCTCTTCAGTTCTGAATAATACAAAGTGCAAAGCTGAATTTGAAGTGTGTAACAAAATGCTGATTGGACAAAACAAACAATAGTAACAGAATAATGTATGTATTTATAAGGAAAGTTTTACATTAACATGATAAAATTTCGTGATTAAGTTTAGGTTTCTCCCATTGAATGTGGATAGCTTCTTTGATTTTAAGTTGAAAGGTTGAGGGCCGATGTAATGTAATTTAAAACAGGGCCTGTTGAGTAATTATTTTAGCTTTATACCTAATCCCCACAAACTTTTCGAATGGTAATAAAGTTCCTTCGTTTTATTCCATTGTGATTATTATTATTATTATTTTTTAATACTTTAATTTTCAATTTTTTCATGTGAGTAAAGTTTCAAGGATGGTACGCTGGAGAAATCTGAGAAGGATATAAACGCTGGGCAAAACACCAGTGAAATTGCTGTTAACAAGGGAATTTCGGTTATGCCTGAGCATACCTCGCACTGGCTGGTCGATTTTTATCAACATATATAGAAAAACTTTCAATCACGGAAAAAATGTGGCATCCTAAAGGCGTTAGAAAATGGTGTCCTTACGGATGATCCGTTCGAGCAAGTTTAACGTGGCCTTTTGATTGATTACTTTGAGTTCGTCTCTTGTGCCTCAGAGACTGGAAAAGTGTTGACTTAACCTTTTATGGTTTCGTTTTGTTTGTAGCTAGCTCATAATTAAAAGTTCTCTTTTACCTCAATGTATGATATACAGTAACACAAGTGGATTAAAAGCCATTTTTAAAATATCAATTGGAGTAAATTTTTGCGGTTTTTAATTTTGCTGGTGTTTTTTTCTGCTGAACTTTTTTTTTCTCATCCGCAGAATCCGCAGAATTTAAACCCCGCAAAATAAAAGTGCTACACGGTATGTCCTTAAAATCACTTTTTTGAAATTCCTCGTGACTTCTGCCACACAGCTAGATAGCAGCTTCTGCAATGGTCATTTCCAAATTTGTTTTTCGTTCGCGACCAGTTGAGGACACATGTTCGTATTCATGGTCATGTTAAAAATTATCAGAAAAACATCTGCTGGAACGAACCGTTCTCCTAAAATCTTGCTTGTTACGTTTTTCTTAAACGAATAAAAACTCGAAACAATTTTGAACTGATGATTTACTTGAGATGTGACGCTAAACTCTCAGTGACACTAATTTTTGCTCTGGTCAATCTTCAATTGCTCAAATACATCCGCTCCCCAACGATTCTCCCTGGTGTTTTTTCCTCTGGTTGTGTTTTCAGCTAGAAAAGTCAGAAATGACAGGAAATACAGTGAAAACAGTTTATATTTTATTAAAAACACAAGCTGTTTTAAATTTACTGGCTGAAAATTCTTTCCAGAGCGACATTTTCTAGTTAAATATGGCATCTGTTTTCACTGTGCAATTTCACCCGGAATTCGAGCCGCTAAATTAAATTTCATATTTACCAAAGCACGCATTTTTTTAAAAAAAAAAGGCAGTAGATAAAGTTATTTTAATGACTCCTTTCATGTTGATTCTTTCTGTACTTGTGCGAAGAAGGCCGAGCCTCTTTCAGAGGACGCGGTCAATGTCTCTACAGATGAGGAGGATGCGACGAAATGTTGTTATCAGGTTGATTATTAGAGTCAGAAGTGCCTCTCCCCAGTCTATTTTCGCTTTTTTCTTCTCGCTCCAGTCTAACCGAGTTGTTAATAGCTTGCGCTGCTACGACTATCCAAAAAGGGACAGGCTGTTGTGCATCAGTGCATTAACCTCTGAAGGAATTATTTGACCGTTAACTGAGCTCATCAATTTTTGCATTTGCATGGGTGAGGTGCCTATGGCCAAGTAACACCTGTCTTCAAAGGTGATCAACACCTAGAGAAAAGAAATTATCGATCCATTTCGGTGTTACCCATCTTTGACGCAATATTTGGTAATTGTCTCTACCACCAGTTATGCGAATAGTTTCATGGACTACTTGTGAGCCTTTTATAAGCGTCATTTATGTGATACAGATCTGATCAGCCATTTGAATCACTGGGAAAAAATCTTGATGGGAAGGTAGGTGCTGTATCGTTAGATCTCAGGAAGACTTTCGACAGCCTACCACTCAACTGTCTTCTTTGTCTCTCGTTGCAAAGTATTTGCCTGATTAGGAGCTATTTGGCTGAATGCAGACAGCGTGTTAAAATTAATGATAACTTTTCTGATTGGTACATTCCAGTAAAAGTGAAAAACAACAAAACAACACAAACTAAAACAAAACCAAACAAACTATTTTCTACGCCTAAAATGGCAGCCTTCAAATAAGCGTTCCGATAAATGAGCGTTCTTACACCAAAAAACGCCTGCTCTGCAGGCTACCATCTCAACATTCTCCTCATTTAAGTGTCACTTTCAATTTTCAAAGCAAAGCTTGTTTCTTCTTCCAATCGATCACGTGAATTTCCGATTACTGTATTCCCTAGTCACACCTAACACAAAAGGTACCAGCTGGTCAAAACTTTGTCAAGGTAATCAAAGTACACGCCCGAATTTAGGAGCTAGCTCACATTATATTAGCCTGCAGAGCAGGCGTAATTTTGGCGAGCGAGTACTCAGTGGTTTCATAACGAAAATTATGGCCGCCATCTTTGATTTTAATGGCAGCGAAAGGCTGGGGAGAGAAAAAAATTTGTTCCAAGGGGGCGGTCGACGGTCAAAAATTAAGGAAAGGGGTAGGGGTAGGGGAGCGCAGATAACATTTTCCCTTCCCCCGCCCCCTACCCCCACCGTCCACTCAACTGCAAATCAAACATGGCCGGTCGGATAAACGATTGCGGGTTTCTAACGTACGCTTGCATTAATAAGACGCCTGCACTGCAGGCTAACATTATATCGAATCTCCTACCTCTCCACTTCTACTCAGTGCGAAAAGTTAGCAAAGCTGAGATTTACACAAAAGAAAATCGAATATGTCTGAAGACCACCTTTCTGCTCCATTCGATCAATCTGAAGTAGACGCACAGGCCGGGCCTCAGCCCTACTGCAAAGGTGACGAGATAATGTGGACAGAAACACTTCCGTCACAAGAACGTTTGTTCATTTGCGGCAAGAGGATGCCTCGATGAAAGCAATTCCAAGAAGATCGCGTATGGAAACTTTGATACAGGAAAGGAGAATAGCGGACATTCAATTTTCTACCAGGCACACCTCTGGTCAAATTGCAAACCTACTGGCCACGAATATTCCAACTCTGGCGGGAGTAAACCCCACAAGGTATTTCTGAGAGCTTTTTCCAATGGTCATGCTTCATATACAGCAGCGTTATAATCAATATATCGAAATTATCACAAGTTTTGTTTTGTCATTGAGTGCTGTTGGATATGACAAAGCCAGGTATCTTTCAAAGGGGCAAGATAAAGGCCGGCATGTTAGGTGATTTTAATTACTTGCTATGAACGTGCCGTGCTACACGTCAGAAGCACGACTTGGTTTCAAACGACGCGCTACTGTCAAACGAGTTCGACCAGGCAGTAGCACGACGTTTGAAGCGGGCCTTAGAGAAATACCGCAAGCATCAGCCCTCGCTGATCTCAACAGCCAGCCTAGCAAATGCATCATTCAGCATCATGATTTTGAAGTAGTTTGTGTTGAGGATCTTTATGTTAGCACTTAGCTAAATTTGAATGTAGTGTCGAGCAAAAAAAAAAAAAATTATAAATTAATAAATTAATAAAGTTCTATTGAACAATGTCGTTAACAATGCACTGACGTTATAAATCTCCCAGCAAATTTTGAGGTAGTGAAAATTTATGGCGCCGAATCAAAGACCACTCAAACACTACTCAAAGACTGCAAAACAATAAGCCTCTAACACATTTTTGTAATAATCTCTTCATTTTTTATTCAAAACCAGAACTAACTTGCATGCATCTTTTACTAATGTTCATAGCACTTCATTAGCCTAGATCTAAAGAATATTAACTCAACCCAGTGCCATTTATGTTTTTTGATTCTAGGGTGTCATTGACTGCAAAATATAATGATGTTGATCGCTTTGTAGCATGACGATACTAAAATCTGCAACCGGGGTTCAGAGTTTTGCTTAGAGTTTTCAATGGTCTCACAAATAGATACAGCATCCAAAATGCATTCAGACAAAGAACAAAGAAAGTTTTCATTGACTCTAGAGGTTAGTTGTTACAAGAATCTAAAAAAGCAAAGTGGTATGTGTGCAGCTCATGCTGAGGTTATAATCATTACCCATATTAAATTACTCCGTGATAATTTACGGGAGAAAAATCCCCATTTTAGATTTTAATTCTTTGACTAGCTTGTTTACTTTGCCATGCCAATTTTTTTTTCAATGCACCAAGAAGAGCAACTCTCAACAGTGTTTGAATTTTTTGGAGTTGCTATTCAGTTGTCTTAGTTGCGTCAGTTGCATTAACCTTTTAACTCCCAGACGTGATCGATTAACATGTAACTTCTCCCCATGCTATCCATACATTATTTGACAAACAGGTAATGAGAATACTCAAACTTACAAGGTAGAAGTTCTTATCTTGATCTAACATCAAATCCTCGTAACTAACTAACAAAGAAGTGTGTAGCAGCCAGAGGGGAGAATTAACAATTAGATCTTGGAAGTGAAAGGGTCAATTAACAAATCTCCCTCTCCTGTAGTTACCCCAATCAATAAAGGCATTTATAAAATGAAGCACTGACTGTGAAAGTACTTGCTTAAAGTTTACAAAAGATGTTTACCTTTCACAACTTTTGATCATATGCAAGACTTTGAATTTTAAGTACATGTATATATTCTGTTTATAATTTTTGTAGCTCACATTTTTAACAATTCTATAACAATTGCACAAATTCTTGTTCTATTGATAGCATTGTTAAGTGCAGTAACATCAGCAGTAACACCAACAGTTACCTCAGCAACACTGACACCTGCTGTTGCATCAACAATATCCCCAGCTGGTCCTTTACTGTCAGGAAGTGATACTAAATGTATGTCTTTCCTCAAAAGACATACATTTCTTGCAATTAACAAAAAATTCAAAACAAAAAATTAAAACTTTGTATTGTACGGTTTTCCTGCTGTCATAATTCTCTAATTTCAAATAGTACTAATAGTATTTTTATTGGTTTTGATCATTCCACTTCAAATAAAGATATACTTTGTTGGAGAGTGACTTTTTTCTTTGCAAGTACCTGAATTTTTCGGTGGACATCCTTGAATTAAACTAAAAAGTATTGCCCTGCATTTTTTGGGCAGGTTTGTGCTCCATTGTTCAACTTAGTTTTTCCAGTTTGTAGGATATTGTTTATGTTCTAGTTGTCAAGCCTTTGCTATTTGACACAGTATACAGAACTTTCTCTCATCTAAGTAATTCAAATTTGTGACTTTTAATACCAACATTGAAGGGTCTGTTTGGCAAGGTAGAATCTGAGCAGCCTCCTATTTTAATTGGCCTATCACACAACGTTCGTATTCTGACCAGTCAGCCAGGAGTTCATCATTAAATTGCTAGCACCCATTCATACAACTGAGTGAAAAGCCCTGAAAATGGAGACCCGATAAAGTTGTATGTATTTGTTTGTAAGCTATGTAATCGAGCCAATGCAAGAGTCTTGTCCAAGAACACAATCCAATAATCAAGGCAAATTAGGCCACCACGCAGTCCTACCTAATGTTTGGCCAAACAGTAATTAATAAGGGCAAACGTTTGAACAAATAATTCCTTGTTATACCAGAAAGATACTGTAACCAACGCATCAGCAATAAATTTAAGAGGAGTTTAATTTATTGACGACACGATCGAATTCCTCTATTTACACGCCATTAATTAGTGGTTTCTAAGTAATGTATTACGAACATAATACATCAAGAACGGAACGACCAATTACAAGATTGGAAATAACAAGAAATACGTATAACATAAAGATATTTACCTAACGAGTTTGGAATACGGCTGCATAAGCGATCACCTTCTACTCGAGCTAACACCGTTACATTCGCTTGATCCGCGCGAAAGTCAAAGTTATATGGATAGCCGCCCGGACTGGGGCTAGGAGGGGGATTGGTTTCTACAGAACTGAAAAATATAACTGCAATTGAAACTGAAAACTGAAAAAAGGCTACATTAGCTACAACTGCATGAAACCCCCTCAAATAGCGGCAAATAAACAATAACTTCTGTTCATTTTAAAACTATCAGTGAAACAAGCTGTTTTAAGAGTGCTAGTTATGAATTTCTATTTGGCTATTTCAGTTCTTTTTACGGCAATGGTCAGATCTGCCAAGTTGTAAAATTGAATTCTATTATCAGTCGATATTGTCCCACTAGCTCTATCAAGTCAACTTTTATACATTGCTCTGATGGGTTACATTTATTTTGTAAGACACTCTAGAAGATGATTCTTAACCCTTCAACTCCCAGATCAAATTTGTAATTCTCCTTACTGCCAACCATACAGTTCTTTTAATGTTAGTTCAGAGAATTTAGTATCGGATCAGTTAATTAGTAATTCTATGATTGATATTTTTCTTTATTCCCATCACTTGTCTGCATGATATTGTACAGATATAGTAAGGAGAACTTCTGTCTTGGTCACTCACGGGAGTTAAAGGGTTAAATGGCACGATTTGATTGGCCGGTTCCATCTTAGTGCTCGTAGGGTAGGTTATTCCAGGTCATCTGGTAACACATCTTAGTATGTTGTTTTCTAGGCGTTGATTACCGAAGACTGTCAACCAGTGTATACATATGAGAATTCTACCTATAAACTACTGCGCTTCTTCCTATACTTAAGAGCGACAAAATAAGGTACTGAAACGTTACTTCTTAGGCAGAAGGCTGCTTATCGATTGGATAATCAAACAACTTGGCAAAACCCATATGATGTGTGAAGAGATTTTCAAACGGTCCTCCTTTGTTAAATATCCTGTACACTTCCCCCCATTTTTCCAGGCTATCCTTGTGGTAGATCGCCTCGATCTTAGACTGGTTGAGGCGATTATTCTTTCCCCAGTGTGGCCTTGCCTTGAACTCCTCACATAGCTTGTTCTCTACCGTCTCCTGAAACTCGTCAATGCCGTATGCTCCAGGGAGAAATGGTACCTGGGAAAAAAAAAGTTAAAAAGCATGAAGTAAAGACTAAATCCTTACTATTGTCTTATTTTATGGTAATTCTTAGAAAGGTTTTTTTTTTCTTACCTCAATGTAACAGCTGTGATGATTTATAGTTCCGTCAGGTCTAAACTTGCTTGCAGGGCTCAGGAACAAATCATCACAACGTGCAAGTCTCACATACATTGGTAGCAAAGAATACTGTTTATGCCTTTCTGCGTAATCTTGAGCCAGTTTTATCACCATGGTCAGGGCACTATGGAGGTGTTCCAACGGTAAGCACCATTCTGCTGTGCGAACGCTAAAATTACAAAGGAAACGACAAGACTCTATTTGACAGCAATATTTGACTGAGTGTCGAAAATCATTTGAGATTTCTTAGTTTGCTTTAACCACTTATTACTCAGCTAAGAAAAACATGGAACGAATAGCGAATCGATAAACTGCACCTTCCGGCGCCTGAGGTCGGCCTTTTCTTTCCAGGAGTTGTAACCAGCAGTCTTAAATGTTAGCCTTTGTGCTGACCGGCCCTTTGAATCACTTAGGCTTTACATTTACCAAACTCAATAAAAACGTGCTCTCCATTTTTCGATTTGATGGTAAACGAAAGTATATGTTTAATAGCAACGCCTTAGAAAATGGCAATTATTCCTTCGTTTAATAAGTCAAACCGTTTACGGCTTGAAAACGTTGATATTTTGTCGTAAAATCACGTTCAATCGGTCTATTTGGCTGTTTGTGCAGATGACAGCTAAGAAGTTTCACACAGCAAGTGTTTTTACTTACTGGATATTGCCTTTCGTGAACTGCAGCACGTTGTACCATGTCTGCCGATACGGTTTTTCGAACGAGAACTGTGACACACCGAAGTTGGTGAGCTGTGGAATACGAGTGGGACAACAATTGGCACATCCCTGGAGGCAAGAGGCTGTGCAGTCTGTCTGCATGCAGCCTAGGTCCGCTATTCCTCTTCCCCCGCAACAATTACAACAGCATGAGCAACAAGCACAGCAGGTTGGTCTACGATCTGTTTTGAAAGCTTTCAAGTAAGCCATTTCAATATGCTTGTCATTCCTGAGGGAGCAAGGAGGTAACGAGATTATTGAGTTCATCGCCACCTTAAACGTAAAAGGAATTATGAAAAGGGACTTAAATTAGAATTAACTGTACTGAGTCTTTTAAGACTTCAACCACCACCATCACATCGCCTTTACTATCGCCACCACGATCCTTGCCACCATCATTAATGCCGCCACCACTGCCACTACTATCACCATCTCCGTAGCTACCATTTACATTGTTATCAGCATTGCCATCACCAGAAACATTTCTTCTACCCCCGCTAGCGTTAGCACCAGCACCACAACCGTACCTACCACTGCATTAAGCATGAACACCAGTACTACCATCACAACCATCTCATCGTCCCTACCACTGCTGCCATTGCCACTACCCTTGTAATCAGTAAGAGTATTGCCACCATAACTACCATTATTAGCAGCGGCACATCTTCCAACATCATCACCACAATTATCACTATTACCAACACTAAGACTAAGACACCACTGCCAACCCTACTACCACTAATACCAGCAGCACCGCCATAGAAAACACTGCCACTAAACCAGGGTTCAGTTATCAAACAGATAACTTGATATCCAGCGGATACCGCTTTAAGTGTCAAGACTTACTGCGTTATCTGCCCGTGGGCGACTTATCCAGTGGATAGCGTTATCCACCCTTCAAACAACCGGTGCTAGTAATGCAAACACCACCATCACCGCTACTCTCACCAAGAACACTGTTGTCACTTCTTTCACCACTATCAGTATTATTGGCATTGTCATCCACCACCATTTCCATCTCCACAGCCACCACTATTACCATAGCTTTCATTACAAACATCACTACGAATACCGCCAGCTCTATAACATTCGTATTAAAGAACTAATTCTGCTCTAGTACGTAGTCCTGAGGCCTTACCTTGGTCCTTGCGGGTATGGATTGACGAAAAACGAGAAATATTCTGCATCTTTCGTCTTGTACATTTTAGCAACCTTTTCAAGAACCTCCCCTAATTGCAACTTCTTTCCCATTAACGCATCGTCACCGTCGTTGTTGCCTTCGTCGTCTTCCGTCGTAACTTCTGGCCAAGAGACCTGTTCCGTTCTTCTGATTTCCTCCAGCTTGTACATGGGAACACAGCTGTATGTAATGGAGTAGATCACCCCCATACATCCTAACCCTACTTGACATGCCTTTAACACCTCACTACTTTTGATCTCGACTGGGTCGTCTCCGTATTTGGCTCCATCGATCTTTGCTTCGCAATCCGCAATGGTTTCGGGGCCGCCACGTACTTTCACTTGGATTCCACCACGTACGATTAAATGAAGACCCACCACAAAAGTGGACTGCAAACGAGACATAAAATGACCTAAGATTTTTTTAGTGAATGAGTTTAAGACATGCTCCTCCCTTTGAAAAATCGAGGAAAGAAACCTTGGTCATAGAAACATTTTGATAATCATCATTAGCAAGTTCGGTTCGGCAATCTTTGCATTGTGAACGTATATTGCCATATTTGGAATGTCACGTGACCAGAACAGCACGAGAGCTGGATATGTGGATCTTAGATAATAAAGCGTAAGTCGTTGCAGTTCGTCAACTGTAATTTTAGTCAAAATTGTCAATGCTCTTTCTTCCAGCCATCTTCTTAAACATTTCGACCATGAGGCAATTATTTGAATTTTGTTCGAAGCAGATAGACTTTTTCTGCTTCTCCGTAAGGCGGCCGAGAACGTATGTAGCCGCAGGAGCACCCTACTATAATATACTATTTTTATTGGACCACTCGATTAATCTTACCATTGTTCCACTGAACCATCCTGATCCATGAGTGGAAGTGCTCGCCACTCCTCCAACCGTTTGGCCTGCGTAGTTGCCCATCATCTTGAGCGCCTTGTGATGATCCCGGTCGAGTTCCTCGACAAAATCTACAACGCGTTTCCCGGCTTGTACTTCGACTTCATATTTCATTTCCGTTGTTTCCATTTCTGAATCCTCCGACTGTGAATCCTCCAATATCTTTGGGAACGTGAGAATCTTGTTCAAATCAGTCATGACCACAAGTATGTCTCTAGTATGGGTGAGACGAGACCAAGAGGAACCTGTGCCCACGGCGCGAATGGTGTAACCATTGTCCGCTGCATACTTGCACAACGCCGCGATCTGACCAGCGCCGTCAAGCCCTGTGTAATCAGAAAGTCAGATGAATCAAATCAGTTGCAGGTACTTTTTTACCCGTAGCAATTCCATATGTCAGGAAGCATTTGTTTCAAAGTTGCATCGTGATAACGTATGTTTTAGCGTGAATTCTCCAAGCTAATCAGTCATTCATTAAAGTAGAAGTTACTGTGATTGTTTTTAGTCAAGTTAGTTGGTCCCACTCTCTCAATCGCTTAATCGCAGTTTATAATTTTTGCTCCTACAAATGTTCGTGTACACACCTTTATGGCTTTTGATTTGATTTTGTATATCATCGTCGTCATCAATGCCATAGAAAGCATCTGGAAGAGAGTGAACGCGCTCGTTCCGGGGGTGGTAAATATGGACGAGTGGTTGAACCTTTTCCATGCCGTCATAGTTGTAAAAGACCCGGCGTCCTGTGTATGTACAAAAACGAATGCAAGGGAAAATGCACTGGTAAGACCAGCGTGAGTTGTAACAACAATCCACGCTGTTTCCCATGGCTAGCACCCTGTAAGGAACAAAAATAGAAATGTGGTGGAAAGGAAGTCTTTGTACTCAAAAAGTGCGAGACAGGCCTTCAATTTTGTTCGTAGGATTCTCTCTCTTCCTACCTCTAAAACGGGTTTTGTCGAAGGAGAAAGTGAACGAATCCTGATTAATGAAGCAGTTACGTAACAGTTTGTGGATATGACGGTTAAACGACTGCGCAACTGCGAACGCAAAGAGCGCAGGGTCGGCAGAATCACACATGGTATGATTAAGGACAAGTTATACAAATGAACCAAGTCTGCAACATCACTCGATTTTGTTAAACCCCAACACAAAATGAAAAATAAATAAAATACCCCAGGCGAAATAAAGGTAAGTTTTCCTTTTCCTTACTTTTGCCCCTAAAAGGAGCTTCTACGGACGGTTGCTCCTTTTTGGCTGTTTCTTATGTTTTCGAGTAAAAATGAAAGAGGAACCAAGGTTCCTTTTGATTAAATACTAAAAAGTGTTGTCTGGTGGAAGATTATTATGCGATAAGCTTTAGACAACCAGACCGCGGCCTTTGACCTAGACACCCCAAAGGAACGGCGTTTGAATGAATGTGTAAAAGAAAGCTATGGCTGAAAATAACAGTAAAACTGAGCGACGAAGGCTGATAGACGCCTGTAATTAAAAATTAATAATTAAAAAATAGTTCTTTCAAACGAAGTTTATATTGCCTGGGTTATGACGCGGAGTTATTGTCTGCTTCGTGACAGTGTGCCAAGACTCGCGAGTCTTTCGTAGTCTTGAGTCACATAGGAACTGTGGAACTTGTGAATATCGAAGTCTGCGCGATAGCATCCGTTCGATTAAAAATCTTTTCAATCTAGGCTTAAAACCTATCTTTTTCAAAAAAAACTCTTTTCTCACGGCGATTTTAATTTTGTACATATATTGATTTAGTTTTTATTCATTCCTCAATTTTTAGGGAGCGCCTAAAACGAATTGGCTAGGCGCTAGACAAGTTCTGCTTAGCATTGTTATTATTATAATTATTATTGTTATAATTATTATTATCATCATCATTATTATTATGGTTATAATTATTATTATTATCATCACTATTGTTATAATCTCCTTATTTACAGCGGGTTATCTCCAAATATATAGTTGTTGAATTCTTCCCTAAATTCCGAATCAATATCAAGTGGTTTTATTTTACCCTGAATTAACCACAAATTTACATCATTATTATTTCGGGGAGCTCTTTCACGCAGAAAAAATGAACTAAGTTAGTATATTGAAAGTTATAAATCATTGTTATTGTCTTCGTTATTTTTATTTTGACTTGTCGCAATGGTAGCAGGCTGCGAAGTCACTTTGAGTTCCTTTAGATGTGAATTTTTATCTCGTTGTCCTTCAGTAAGGTCGCTCATCGCTACTGTTTGTACTTTGTCGGAATTCGCTGTTCTATTTTTCTTGCAGAAACTTCTCCATAGAAATTCGCGAAAATCACTCATCTGAACGAAGTAAATTACGACGTTCATCACACCGTTCAAAAAGACGATTCCACCGAAGCCATATCGTGATATGAAATCAGTTTGAAAATCACGGTATGGTTTTGCTATATGATTGTAGAGCAAATTGGCCAGGAAGAAGAAGTAGCAGACGATGAAGGCAAACGTAATGAGAATAAGGAGAGTCATTCCCTTCATTCTCGTGGCTATCAGCTTAGCCTTAAAAGCATTGTTCAATCCTTTGATCATCGCACGGTTCCCTCTGATCCATATCGTTTTAAGGAGGCAGAAGTTGACGAATGTTATAAAGCTTCCCGGTAGAATGTATTGTACCACGACGACAACCAGGGGCATTCTGAACGGGTAAAATTGATACTTGTAGAAGCAGATGGTTGTATAATGAGTTTGGTTAAGATCCAGCCTTATTCCACCGTATGGGGTGGCCGCTAGCAACATAAAGACCATTCCAAACACCCATGCCCAAATGATCATTCGTCGAACTGCTTTGGTTGTAAAAGTACGAGGAATCGAGCGCGTTGACAAGTACTTTTCAAGACTGATAACAATCAGATTGTTGATTGTAATGGATGGGAAAATGAAATTTAAATACCGGACTATTTTACATGCCCAGCCGTTTTGAAATACATCGAATAAGATTTGGATGCATACTAGTGGAATAGATATTGCACTGGCTAATATGTCTGAGAGTGATAAACTTCGCACGTAGAGATTGAAATTTCTCACGAATGGACTCTTTTGGATCAGGCTTCGCCTTTTGATTGGCTTTTTCCAAAGAAAGTAGAAAATAAGGCTGTTGCCCAGGAACCCCATGATACCAATACTGGCGAGAATTGAACAGATGATGGACTTTACGGTGGAATCAATAGGCATGAAAACGTACACAGCAGATGCGTTTGCACTACAATTCATCTGGTGGTATGAATTGTTTCTTGACACGTTCCATTGTTGGCACCGTGTTTCAACCATTTTTAAGAATATCAGGCTATTAGGGAAGAAAAAAAAAATAAAAAGTTTAATGAAGTCTCCTTCTTATCAAGAAAAGCTAACAGTTGGTGAGTAGCGCTCAAAAAATAACGACATGTTAAAAATCCATTTCTCGATGTTTGAACGCAAAAAGCATACTTTCCAAGTCGAACTGGTTTTGCCTTTCTTCTCTTTTCTGTAAGTTTTACCCGTTTTAAAAACAATATTCTGGTAAAAAGATGTTTATAACTTTCCATAATTTATTTCAGTCCCGAAAGTTTAGAAGTAATCGGCCTCGATCTCATGCACTCGACCCAGTTCTCCTGACTCGTGACTAAATCCACTGTCTACTCAGGATGTAAAGAATATCAAGTCAACCATACGAATGCCTCCGACTATCGCCATTTGATGCGTGAAATTTAATCTTTAGATGGGCTGAAATAAATTACCGGTAATTCCGGTCATTGGCTTGATGTGGAGTGGAGAGAGCCGAGGGAATGACGAATGAAAAGCTGAGTCAAGGCAATTTTTTCAGAATTTGCTGACGATCTCACTTCCCCGTGTTAGTTGCGAGCGGTAATCCTGCCCCATCACGTCCGGCATTAAAAAAAGAGCAGCTTGTGAAAAATTATTTTTTCGAAAACAGGAGGCAAGAGTCCAATTCTGTTATAATTGATGAAGTAAACCCTTTTAAATTAACTACAAAATTTGGTTTGAAAAATATATTTCAAAAGTTCATAAATTTCACAAACAAGGGTAACACATTCACGATGAAAGAAAGCTAGATAACTTAAAACTAACTCAGCTAAAGTAAACAACAACGAGAACAACGATGCACAAAAGCGTTGACGTCAGTTTTTCAATGTCAAGGTTTAATTACGTGGTGGACTTGATTGGTTCTTTTTATGAAATCACGCGCGCTGCGCGATGGGCTTATATTGCCTGCTCGCGTAGCCAATCAGAACAAAGGATTCACTTTATATAGCCCAAGGGCGCCGCCGGCTGTTTAATGAAATTTTTTACTGTTAATCTTTTAAAAATGCATGCCTTTCAAACATTTTGGCCTTAATAAACCCGCTTCCCCCAAGATTTTTTGACAGATTTGTACGATGATGACCCCGAAGGATGCCTTTACATCTTTTAAGGAGTCCGAAAGATCTGTCAGAATTTTTCTTTTTGAGCATAAGAAAACACTTTTTACATAAATCGAGCGTTTTACGCGAATGATCGTTAAGTAGATAAATACAGAAGTTGTGAAAATTGGCGCTAATGAGTTTAGATCATCTCTCATATGACTGGAAAGAAGCAGAAACCATATAATTCGGTGAAAACGAGAATAAGCCATCTCGCACAGCGACAGGCATGAAGCAGGTGGATAAATGTATAAATGTTGATAGTAGTTATACCATTCAGCTCAGCAGAACAGGATTATTAGCATGATAAATTAAAATTAATTACTTACAGGACAAGCGTAAGTGGCCCAAAACTTCGAGAGGCGAATATCACTGCCTGTCGAAGATAAGTTGCTGAGATGTGCTATCGAGTTCGTTAAGAATCTTCTTGAAGGTCGGCTGGTTAGTTGTTCAGAGCTTATAATCATTTCACTTCACACTCAACACTTTCTCGACAATAGCGCCTTTTTTGCCAAAAATAATACCACTTCCAACACTCAGCTATTGACGCATTTCTAATTAATACAAGGCATATTTTTTTTCGCTGCACGCATGAACACAACGACATGAACGTCGGAACTTGAACTTTCTTATAGGCTCAGTATAGAAGAGGTTCTTGGGACTGTTTTGGCCTTATCTCACTGCCAATAAGAAAAGGCTAAAACATTGGCTAAGTGTGTCAATAAGCTCCAATCATTTCTTAAAATTGTAATTAACGACGGATGCATGCGCACTCAAACTTTTGTTTTTTTTGGCTCTCAGATGCCTGATCAGCTGGACCGGATTAGCTTTTTCTTTTAAGATCATTGTTTTACAATTACAAAGGCACCACGTTTTCGCTGTACTTATTCAGAACTTTGAGTGATGTTTGCGTAGAATTAGAGCGTTTTTAGTGGAGTAATTTGGAAAGTTGCTGGGGGAACCCTTGATCTAGCTGAAAACGTTGGTACAAAAGCTAGTTAAAAGAATTTCTGACTGAGGTTTCTACTTATGTTTTTGGCTACAGGAATTTTCAATTTGCTACTTCATATAACTCAGTCTAATTTGTATCTCGGTAACCTTACCTTGTGATAATAAGCGTTGATATTTCAAACAATGTTTTAAGTTAAAAGTAAACGACGAACAACGATGAGCAATGAGAATAATTGTAGATAGCATTTAATACGCCACGTAATAGAGCAGGGTAAATATTTAAATGTAAATTCTTTATTAGGATAAAATGTTTTATTGTTACGTAAATGTAGTATATTTATAACAAAGCTCTAATGGAAAGTAGTTGTGAATATGAAAGCAATCTTCGCAGTAAGGAACACTACTTGAGCAGTAGTGAAAATAAGGCCTTAGAAAAAATTCAGGTCTGTACGGGATTTGAACCCATGACCCATGCGATACCGGTACAGCGCTCTACCAACTGAACTAACAAGCCAATGTTGGTTCCAAATAAACCTGTGAAGTGGTGAATAAACGACTGTGGATATATGAAAGTCATATATTTGAATTGCGGATAAAGACGTGAATATGAAAGCGATCTTCCGGCAGTAACGAACACTACTTGAGCAGTAGTGAAAATAAGGCCTGAAAAAAATTCAGGCCTGTACGGGATTTGAACCCATGACCTCTGAGAGCGCTGCACCGGTATCGCATGGAAAATATTGATATAACTCTGTACAGTAAGTGGTACATGTACAAGTAAAGTTAAAAGTAACTTCTCGGAAAATTGTAAATCATGGAAATATTGGTCAGTTTCGTATGTCAGGCTGCGTTTTGGAAGTCTTGCATATATATAAAATTCTGTACTGTAGAATTCGGTCCTGCTTATCAGTTTGTTATATGGTGATAAAACAAGTCATACAACGTTAAGTCTGCAGCAGACGTGCCTATTCATTTTCCTATCCTATTTGTGCGCGTCTCTTACTTTTAAAAAATACACTGCAAACAGAAACGTAACGGAAACACTAACCATTGTGGTATTTCGTCCGCAGAGAGACTGAGGACTATTGTGTTCCCATAATGCTTCAAAGCATACTCACGTGAATGAAAACGAGATTGTTCCAGTCGCCGCCATCTTGAATTTCGCCTTCAACTTTTTCCGTTAAGATGCGCTAATTTTTTTTACTTTACACATCTTTTCTTCGTCCCTTTTTATCACCCTGATGGATACTGGGGACGAAGGTATTTGTGAGGAATATGCCTCATCGCTTGAAGACTTGACTTTTAATTCTAAACCACTGATTAACGTGCTCACGATGCTTGCCGAAGAAAATAGTCAATATGCCGAGAACATAACAAAGCTTATTGAAAAACGCATTTGTCAGGTGTGTGCTTATACTTTTATTTCTTCTACCAGCTTCTTAATGAAACAAAAACTCTCCGGTTATCGAAAGCAATATTTTTGTGCCTTAAAACATGGAAAAACTATTGATGTATTTACGCTAATGGTATTTTTATTTTTAGCTGAATATGATAGAATACTTTGTTTTCGTTTATAGTAATATTAGTTTATCGCTAGTTTAAGTGATTAGCCCGCCGACTGATTGCAAAATAATTTTTGCATACAAACTTAGATTCTTAGATTTACATATGGACCTAAAGTGAGTTTATACTGATACTTCATGCCTGCAAGCTCTTAGGGTCTTTAGAATCAATATATGCAATGCAGTCCTTGATTCTTGGTTGGCAACAATAATTTCTTGGATACATGCTGGAGCAAGGAATTTTACTGAAAGATGGCTTGAGGTTTTGCTATTTTACCATTAGGATGGGGAATGTGGGCTGCAAAACCTGGCATGGGTCTCCAGCATTTTAAGTCAAGTACTTGTTACTGTGTTGACAAACTTCAGTGTGTATCCCTATTAAATCACACCAAAATTCACAGCTACCAGAGCACAAATGCAGAAAGTTCAAGGTGTTTGTATTTATTTCTGTAGGCAAGCTTTTTAGATATTGGAAGTGACATTTCTCATGTTCTTTTGCCACCATGGTAGCATACTTTAATTTTTCAATGATAAGGTTACATGAACATTTTTGGGGAAACTATTTTGAAAATTATAGTACCATACAAGTATTATTGTGCGCAGTGTGAATGCTTATCCTCAGTCTAGTCTAGATATCATCGTAGAGACTAAGAATGCATAGAGAAAAAAGTATTTAATTCATCTTTACTCTACAATGTTGTATAAAGAGGACTGTAAGGGAACAAGAATTATTAACAGAGGGAAATAACAAACAGTGCAATAGTAGTGGAGGTGTATTTATGTTTAACATGTTTTTGAGACTAGGCGCCCACACTGTAGGTAAGAAAAGTTAAAAAGAGCCAACTATGAAATAAGCACCCACCTCAAATAAGTACCTTCTCCAAATAAGTGCCTACTCTTTAGGTTGATAAATTTAAGGAATGCCCAGGGCACTTATTTGAATAAATATGGCAATATGTAATAAAAGGTTTGAAATAAGATTTTTCTACAGAAAAATGTTACACCTCTTTTGAAGGTTTTGGAAGTAGCTCACTTAATCTCATATGTAACATGTACATGGTGTCAAACATTTTCATACAATTATAAGTTTAACAATGAAATGTTGTAATATGGTGTTATTTTACACCCTTAAAGGAAAGAAGTTAAAATATAGGGTAGTGAAATGAAGGTTAAATAACATGGTAGGAATAACAAAGGTTTTTTTTTGTTTTTTTGTTTTTAGATTTAATTTAAACAATTATGCATGATTATTTCCACCAAGAATTTGTTCAAGCAGGTGTTAATGTATACTCCACTTCTAAACAAATATTGTATTAAATTTATTTTGTGAATATTGCAGATTTTTTTTGTGTGGAAAAGATTTACTTTTTAAATACACACTTTTACATAGCTAATAGAGACCAGAGTACAAGT